ACCCTTGGCAGTCGGGGATGTCGTGCTTCTCTACGATACATCGCTGGAGAAGCAGTGGTCCAGGAAGCTCGATAAGAGATGGTTAGGTCCCTACCTAATCGCACGGGTCGGAGACTTCGGAGCGTACCAGATCGAGGAGTTAAATGAGACTGAGTGGAAGGATTGGGTATCTGGAACGCGACTGAAGAAATTTGTGGCGAGAGAAGAGGTAAGAGAGATGACCTGACCGCCTTTAGAATAGAAGTAACAGGGTGTGTAGGTTAGGAAGGATGCATGCTGCATAAGTGTGGTCTGGTCTGAGTTTGCTCTGATTATCACCTGCTTGCTTACCCCAATGTGTGCCTGTTGTCTCCTTCGCCTGTTGTGCAGGTCTGACTTTACGAAGACAGCCATGCCAAGAGGAGGGAAGGGGACACGGCCGCCTCAGAGGCCTTTGGGCGCATCAGGAGGATATGAGCGGCATGGGCCTCGCCATCAAGAGAGTACTCCAGTCTACAATGATGGGGACATCGAGCTATTCCTGGACAGTTTCTGGGAGCATGCGAGGCGTATGGGTTGGACCGTCGCTCAGGCGATTGAGAGATTGAGGGGAGACGTGCTGGGAAGGAAGTGATAGAGGTTGGAGAGGACACGCCCCCACAGACGCCAGCAGTGGGTTTGAGACTCGGGGATGCACCAGGGAGCACCCGGCAGGCAAAGGAGGGGTTGCAGAAAGAGGAGACCCCTTTACCTTCGTCAGAAAAGGCTTCTTCGCCAGAAGGGAGGGCAGAAAGGAGGAGAGAGAGGGCAGTTGTAAGGAGAGAAGCTTTGATCCTGATTGATAGGCACCTAGCAGCTCATGCCCTGGAGCACCCAGACCTGGAGGAACCAGCACCTGCAGAGCCACGCCATGAGTCATGCCAGCCCGAGAAGGAGATGGAAGCAGAGATCCCAAAGAGGGTCGACCTCCACACGAGGGAAAGGGTGTCAGCTGGAGAGACGGTTGAAGAAAAGAGGGCGAGACGAACCAGGCGGATAGATGAGATATGGCAGGAGAGGCAGAGGTTGGAGGCAGCGGGGGAGCTCCCGGAGCAGCAGCAAGAGAGGCAGAGATCGGAGGCAGCAGGAGCACTCCCGGGTCAGCCACCCAGCGCACCAGCTAGGGTCCCAGAGATCCCTGAGATATGGAGGGACTTCTGGGAGCAGAGAGGAGAGGAGCTTCCATCGCCAGTCAGAGCCGGGTTTGGGGTGGCCAGGAAGGCGGAAGAAAGGTTAGATTGTAAAATCAAGTCCCTGGCCAAGACCACTTTTGACCGGCACTTGTTATTGGAGGGCGATCTGGCGGGGAAGAAAATGAAGGAAGCCAGCCATGGAGTACGTCTAGAGGCTATGGAGATGAAAATTCGGGAACTTAGGGCTTTGGTGGCCAGCCAGGCAGCTATCATTGAGAGCCTGAGGCAGCAAACCCAGGGAAAGGTGGACAGACCAGAGAGCAGCCGGCAGGGAGAGCAGAGGCAGCCAGGACAGGGATTGCCAGGACAGCCATCTGCGACAAAGCCTCGCCAGGAGCCACCTATGGGGAGGGTTATCCTGGAGTCAGAGGAGGCGAGAGCACAAAGACAGGCGGAGAGAGAGGCGTTCGAGTTCAGAGCCCCGACCGAGCTCCCGACACTGCCAGTAGCAGCGGCGGGCCCAGTCGTACCTTTGGCAGTAGAGGAGGGGCTGCCACCATCTATCAGTGAGACGGCTTAGGGCTCAGTAGAGGAATCCATGGGCGTGCTCCTTGAGGCGGTACATACTATGCAGGAGGAGGTGAGTTTGTTTTCACTTGAGCAGAGGATAGAGGAGCCTCTTGAGAGAGAGATGAGGATTGAGGAGGAGGGTGCCATCGAGGGCAGACTCCAGAGGATAGGCACACCTGAGTATGGACCGAGGAGATTGAGGAGAAGCCCACGGCAGTGCCAGAGGCGACACTCGAGAGGAGGCCTCAGAGGTTGGACACGCCCGAGTACGTCCCAGCAACAGAGGATTTGAGAGGCAGACTAGGATCTTGGGCTACTGGATCTGGGTCTGGTGGACCAGTTCCGAGGATAGAGCAGCAGGAAGTCGTTAGTACCGCAGCTCCTCGATCAAAGCATCAGGGGGGTGTCGGTACCTTGGTGGGATCTCCTTCATCGCCACCTCCTCAGCCCAAGAAGAAGAAGTTCAAGAGAAAGGTAGATCAGCTATGTTTTTACTGCAAAAAGGACGTGCATCTGGCTTTGGACTGTCTCGAGTTTCTTGAGGATAAGGCAGCAGGAAGGATCTCAGAGGTAGGGGGTAAAATGTATGATAGACAGAGTAGGATAGTAGAAAAGTCCGCAGATGGACCTAGGGCTCAGTTATATAGGCAAAATCAGGAGGAGTTGAGGAGGTAGGGCTCGGTTTTGTCTATATAAGTGAGCGAGCATTTTGTGAGGTATCAACTTAGGTTCTGTGTGATACCCTCTTAGACTTAGAAGACATTTTGATGATTGCTGTTAATTTAGATCTGAACTCTAGTGTTTCTACTGAGTTGGGGTTTTGAGGGTCAGGGTGGTTTAGATGAGGCATGTACATATTTAGRTGGCCTACGCCCTGGCCTTTGAGAGACAGATCTGACATGTATTCTAGGGGTAGTTGTCAGTGTGGGTTTGGTGTGGCTTGAGTTGAGCAAGCTATGATTTGGAGACACTTTCTGTGTGAGACATTGTACTCCCTTAGTGTATATTATGATGAAGTTTCCTTCAGGGACCATTCTTATATGTGACGATCACTTGTCTCTCTCACATGTGTGGTTGTACTCTGATGTATGATGAGTTTGTGTGGACAATGTGTGAAAAACTTTTTATGTATCTTGGGTATTGTGAATATGATTGTAAGTAAAACTGTCTACTCCACGGTATACTTGTGCGACCTGCCCACGGCAGCTGATAAGGCAGAGTATAAGGGGAGGAAGCGCAGTCCGTCTGTGAAAGTTATCTAAGCTGTGATGAGGACCCATAAGATGGTCTCTCAGTGATGTTCTGTTTCATGATGGGACCCCCTTAGATTTTGGAAAAGGGGGGGATGTTTTATGATGTTTTGTGATGTAACGAAACCTCCGTGACTTTGAGAGAGGGGGTGTTTGGTTTATGATGAGACCCTCGTTATTTCTGGAAGAGGGAATGTATTGTTTTATGGCGAGATCCCTCGCGATTTTTGGAAGAGGGGGTGTTTTGTTTATGAAGAGAGCCTCTTTTGGATTGTTGAAAAAGGGGAGTGATTTTTTGTTGGAAGACTCATCCTCAGAAGTGAGTAAATTGATTTATGGCATGACGAATTGTTTGATGGGTGACAAAGTCTGACGGAAAGGGCCACTTTTTGTTTGAAATGTTTGAGAAAGTCGCAATGAGCACAGGGCGAGAGATGTCTCAGGGTGGGTGGCTGCTGACTCTAATCAAGTCAGGGGTCACAGCCTGGTGGATTTAGCGGTGATTTTGCTTGTAAGCGTGCGAACGATGCCATGCCTATTGAAGGAGGGTTGGTAAATGCTTTCGGACCCCTGCGTATCGCGCAGTGGGCCTGTGATTTTGTTTTGCGACGCCTCGTCTAACCACCTGTGCTAGTTCTGGGACATATTGAAGAAAGACCACGCTAACGGAAAAGAAGTTAGTACCTCTAGGGTGTTACCCCATTGGATGGCTGCTAGCCGGCGCAACCTGGCTGCGGGACCGCGGGGTAAAAGTCTAAGGGGGGTTGCCCGCCCCTGTGAAATTACTCCGCGGGATAATGATGGTTGAAAATTTTTGGGGGGAGATCCTAATTGAGTGCTTACCAGGAGGAAACCTATCGTTGCGTAACCAACGAAGGTACTGCCGTTAAATAACAATGCGGTGGGCCGTGGTCCTGGTCCGATCAGCCAGGCTATGGTGGGCCAAGGTGGAGACCTAGCCTTTCTGTACTAGACTGCAGAAAGAGCTGAGCGAATATTAAGTATATATATATACTTGCGTGTATTTGATTGCGAGAAAATTTTGAGAAGGAAGGCGAGAGTGCCTTCAAAAGGTCTCGATTAAGGCCCGCGTCCCTAGTTTTGCCAGGACTGGGGACACCCAACGAAAAGCCGAAGGTTGTCTAGGACCGGGGAGAGGACGATTGGGAAGGTCTTTGGAACTTATGCTGCAAGTGTCCTAATTTCTGGACGGTGTGAGGCCCAGGTTAGAAACCTGGCAGCATATAGTTATGAAGGCATGGTTTGATGGAGGCCTCTACCCTGTGTTTGTCGGCTAATCGGATTGGCTCCTGTCTCGTCAGAATTTGGAGTGTGGATGGATTTATAGTCTTCTGATTTGGCGAAGCAACGGGGACGTCGCTTAATATGGTCCGGTAAGCTGTCGGTGCTTACAAGGGGATCCGCCCTGGTTTTTGCAAGTGACAGAAAATAGTTCTGGTTTAGAATTTAAGTATACCCAGCTAAGCACGGTTGCGTCAGTAATTGCTTTGACTGGGTGGTTGACCGCAATAGCGAGTGCGTGGGCGCGCAGGTTTAAGGCGCGCGTGATTCTTTTCTGTTGTTGATCGTAAAGCCGGACCGGACCTCGGTCGTTTTTTGTTTGGTGATATTATTATTATTTATTTATTTTTGATTAAGCAGGAATTAAGGATATTTCCGTTTGATTGGTACATTCGACCGAGTCAAGCGCGCGTGCAGAGAACGACCCCGACGACGGCATCGACAATAACGGCGCTATTTCGTGCGGTAAGCGGGATGTCGTAGGATGGCGCGCGGGGCAATTATGGCATGGTATAAGTAAGCCGGCGCGGTCAATGGGAGCCGCGCAGCCGGTTTGTTGGCCCAAAGCGCCGCGCCGCACCGTCTTGTATGGTACTCTGCGGACGTGGGTCTCAGGCTTGGGCTCATCCCTATAGGTTACGACATTGGACTGACACTACGAAGGTTCGGGGATCGAGGTCGGTGAGCGTCGACGCGGTGGCAGCGGAGCATCGAGGAGGAAACCGAGGGGTTGAGGGCTCGATGGGGCTGTCCCTCTGTGGTTTTTATCTGGCGGGCGCGGCGATGGGTCCGATCTGCAGGGCTGACGAAGTGCCGGCAGCTCCCTCTTTCCCCCCGTTAGTGGGTTGTTTTTCTTTTTTTTGTATACCTTTTTATTGTTATTTTTGTTTTTATTTTTACGTCTTTCCGCGTCCCGTACTGGGACGCGATACGTGATTGTAGCTAGGATCCATGGGCATAGCGCAGTTGGTACGCCCATGAACTGTCGGAATACAAGCCGCGCCCGATACCRGATGGGSGGGACCCRGTACTTTGAATTGCCTGGTTCTGCTCAGGCTTCGGTCAGGCCGAGGGTGCCACCTCGAGWCTGYCGTGAGGCCTGAGTCCTTCGGGACATCCGTTAAGGCTGGAAAGGTACWGAGGAGGTACGTTGGCCACTSCACAGGGGAGGCGCGCGCAGATGTGGGAATGWACCCAGACTCGGGTCAAGCCGGATACGGGCTAAGGGAAAAGCTGAGGCCGTTTGGCCTTTGGGGGAGCGGCGGGGCATTGCCCCGGTCAAGTCCTTCGGGACATCCATTAGTACTGAAGTAATGCAGGTAATATTTGCGCGACCCCTGTAAACAGAGAGTATGCATAAATCGAGGGGGTTGGGCCGCGGCTGAGGGTGGTTGGAATGTCGGATGTCGTGGGACGCCGCGGCGTGAGCAGAGTCCGGTGTTAGTAGACGACGGGGAAGAGGGGCGATAGTGGAGCCGTGGAGACCGGGGATGGACTTGGACGCGACGCTGGGCCAGGTGCGTGCGGAATGGGAGAGCGCAGAGTCACGGGCGATAGCGCAGTGAGCCAACAACCAGAGAGCACAGCGCAGTGACGGGAGCAACATCAGGCAGGGCGAGGCGATGGCAGAGGAAGTGAACCTGGCGTGATCATGCGACCAGGTGCATTCACGGAGGGAGAACGAATATGGCTATAGGCAGAAAGAGAGGAAAGATAAAAAGTTATACCCCGCTCGTTTCTTGATTAAAACGAGCGGGGAAAGATAGTAGATCGGGGTTTTAGACGTGGGCGAGTGTGATAATGAGGTTAGTTTCGGGGTTAGAGTTGTAGAATAGGTGGTAGGAGAGAATAAGGCTGCGCGGAGGTGGCGGAGTGCAGGGAATGGTGAGAATAGGAATCAAGATCTCGGTCGCTAGTTCATGGMAATGAGCMAACTAATRTATAAGTTAGAGTTTTTTTTGTCATTCCGAATCTAATGGYGGAGTCAGATTGGGCAATGGGTCAGTAGAAGGGAAGTTAGTAGTAGTTAGGACCGCGCGAGAGTGTCGGGAAGGAAAGGAATGAATGAACCTGGGCGGGATCCRCGCCCAGGTGCATTYAGAAGATAAGGACGACGATGGCGGACGAAAACGAGGAGTGAGGGGGATGGGGAAGAAGTTTGTTTTCGTTCATTTTTCTACGAAAACAGGCAAGGAAAGAGGCTAGACTAAGATTTGGAGGGGGGGGGGCGAACTGAATAGTGAAGTCAGAGTGGGAGAAGAGTCAGTAAGATAGGAGTTAGATGAAGAAAGTGTTGCGCTGAGCTATGGCTGGGATTGAGATASAGGAAGCGGGAGATKAAKAATACTACGCGACTCTTAAACAAAATGGTTGAGGAATGGAGCATTATGGGGGTTTTTCATAGCTACGAACCAATCTATGAAGTTAGTTTCTGACGTTAGTAGGTAGAGTTTGTGATATAACGGGTGTGGGTTGCGCCTGGAGATAGTAAGTTTGAAAACGGAAAGTATCTKTTCGTGTTYAGAGGGAAGGTTCACTCTCAC